CGTTCACTTAATCCTCCGCACGTTGCCTTTATTCTTACCGTTTCCCTCTTTGTCATCCAGAGATGGCTACCCCACCCCGACGCGAGCGACGGCTCTCCACGGGAGCCCCAATCACCGACATCCAAGGCCCTGTGGGGCCCGGATTCAGCAGGCCGAAGCATAAAAGAACCTTCACGGGCTTCGGCCGTGGGGAGATCAAGATCGTCGAGGCTAGCATCCCATTGCCCCAAAGAGAGACGTCAGTACAGCCCTCGGCCTCCCAGTTTAGCAGTGAGTGTAGCGAAACCCATAGACTGACAGTTTCGCAGATGGCAGAAATATGTGAGACTCGACCCTTTAGAAAATGGATAACTCGTAGCTTGGGAAGGGCTGGCTAATGTTCATTCCGAGCTGCATAGTCTGCCCAAGCCTTCAGCTCCAAAGAGGAATTCGAGGTTTGTCTGTTCCAATGGCTGGATGTGTTTGATTACAACTAACTTTAGTTCCAGAAAGAAACCGTCCGCCATGTAGAGACGAGTCTCGCTCGCTCTCTTTACAATTGTGATGAACTGTGAGCCCTTTAGTCCGAGAGGGGAAGAAGATGGCTTCAATTTCGGCTGACCTGTTATTAGTGCCGCGTATGCGGGAGCCAGTCTTGCCATTAGAGACCGCCTAGTAATTTCATGGAACAAAACTCAACAGCATCAGACTTTCGTCGACCAAAAGCGGCTTTACTGTATGTAGACGACGATGGTCACCCAGCTTGTACCAATTGAACTACTGACCATGCAACACACCCAGACCTTTCTCTGGAATTCCTCATGGGACGAACCCTCGACAATGCGATGTTGAACACTGGGGTGAAGAGTATCGCTAAAGGTATGGGCAATGCTTGGTCTGGAAACACTTAAATGCTTATCAGCTCCTAGATGGACTGGGAGAGCTTGGATTCCGCATCGAAGATGTCCTAGAACAAGAACACGATGCTGCGCTGGGCAACGGGGGCCTTGGTCGGCTTGCAGCCTGCTTCCTCGACAGCCTTGCTACGCTGAACTACCCAGCGTGGGGGTATGGCCTACGCTACCGGTAACTTGTTCTTTAATACCCCGAGCAAAATTGATCGATTTGTTAGTCCTTGGCTAATGTTACGCTGCTACTAGATATGGCATTTTTAAACAGGAGATCGTTGATGGATATCAGGTAGAGGTTCCGGACTACTGGCTCTCTTTTAATCCCTGGGAATTTCCAAGATTCGACATCACTGTCGATATCATGTTTTATGGTAACGTGAGGAAGTATACGTGAGTTACGACCCTAAAAACAGACAGAGGCCGAACTGACTTAGTTAAAGCAATGAACAGGGGAAGCAATGCACATCTTGGGAAGGTGGTGAGATCGTGCAGGCGGTAGCCTACGATGTCCCTAGTAAGTATGGGAATCTAAAACTAGTCAAGATGAAAGCTAAATAATAACAGTTCCGGGATTCGGCACTTCCGTTACCAACAACCTGCGCCTCTGGTCGAGCAAAGCTGCTAGTGGGGAGTTTGACTTCCAAAAATTCAACTCCGGTGATTATGAGAGCGCCGTTGCAGATGAACAGAGAGCTGAAACCATCTCCGCTGTCCTTTATCCGAATGACAAGTGAGTTAGGCACCTAAATAACATTAGGCCAAATTTCGCTGACTGTATATCACTCGCTAGTCTGGATCGGGGGAAAGAGCTTCGACTTAAGCAGCAATACTTCTGGGTCGCTGCATCGCTCCATGACATTGTTCGCAGGTTCAAGAAATCGAGGCGGCCGTGGAAGGAGTTTTCGGAACAGGTTGCTATCCAGCTTAACGACACTCACCCTGCTCTTGCAATCGTCGAACTACAGCGTCTCCTGATTGATACGGAAGGCCTTGAATGGGACGAGGGATGGGATAGTGCGCCTCGCCACAGCGGTCACTAAATATTACATGCTAACTCCTGTAGTTGTAACCCAAACCTTCGGGTACACAAACCACACCGTGCTTCCAGAAGCGCTCGAGAAGTGGTCAGTGCCACTCTTCCAAAACCTTCTCCCCCGTCACCTACAAATCATCTACGATATAAATTTGTTTTTCTTGCAATCAGTCGAGAAGCGGTTCCCAAAGGCAAGTTAGCTTAGCCATGGTATGAGCCACCACTAATCCATATGATAGGACCGTGATTTGCTTGCTCAAGTTTCCATTATCGAAGAGAGCACGCCGAAGTCCATCCGCATGGCATTCCTTGCTATCATTGGCTCGCACAAGGTCAATGGGGTTGCTGAGTTGCATTCGGATTTGATTCAAACCACAATTTTCAAGGACTTTGTCAAAATCTTCGGCCCAGACAAATTCACGAATGTCACAAACGGCATTACACCACGCAGGTGGCTGCACCAGGCCAATCCACGGCTTTCTGAGCTCATTGCCTCAAAGGTTGGGGGTCTAGGATTTCTGAAGGACCTAACTCTCTTGAGCGAGCTCGAGAATTATGTAGACGACAAAGACTTCAAGAGGGAGTGGATGGAGATTAAATACGCCAACAAGGTCCGCCTTGCTAAACATATCAAGTCTGCCAACGGCGTCACCGTCAATCCGAGCGCCTTGTTCGATATCCAGGTCAAGCGGATGCATGAGGTATGAACCCCCTGCTTCGTGATATCAGGCATACTCAACTCACTGAGACAGTACAAACGCCAACAACTTAATATCTTCGGGGTTATTCACCGATATCTCACTATTAAGGCAATGACCCCTGAAGAGCGCAAGAAGGTTGTACCACGAGTATCCATATTTGGTGGTAAAGCTGCCCCCGGATACTGGATGGCGAAGACGATTATTCATCTAATTAACTGTGTCGGAAACATTGTCAATAAGGACAAGGACATTGGTGACCTCCTAAAGGTTATATTCCTCGAAGACTACAACGTCAGTAAAGCAGAAATCATCTGCCCTGCGTCTGACATCAGTGAGCATATTTCCACGGCTGGCACTGAAGCGAGTGGTACTAGTAACATGAAGTTCGTGCTCAATGGTGGCTTGATTATTGGAACTTGTGATGGTGCTAATGTGAGTCTGCCCTCCCGCTCCTTCAGCTATCCCTACTAACGTATTCAGATCGAAATAACTCGCGAAACTGGCGAGAATAACATATTCCTTTTTGGTAACTTGGCTGAGGTGGGTAACTAAGTCTAAACACGAAACAAACCTCTAACTGGCATGGCAGGAAGTTGAGGACCTCCGCCACAAGCATTTCTATGGGAAGCATGAACTGGACCCTGACCTTCGACGGGTCTTTGACGAAATTGAGAAGGGAGCCTTTGGTCCTCCAGAAGGGTTTTCAGCATTGATCAACTCAGTAACTGTGCATGGTGACTACTATCTCGTTAGCGATGACTTCCGCAGCTACATTCAGACGCATGCACTTGTGGATGAGGCGTACAAGGATCAGGATGAGTGGGCTGCGAAGACTATCATGAGCGTAGCGCGGATGGGATTTTTCTCGTCGGATAGATGCATCCAAGATTATGCAGAAAGTATCTGGAACATCGAGCCTTCTACTTTCGAAGCCTAGTGTTAAATGGGACGTGTTGTTAATCTCGGGTTATGACTGTACCAGAGAGCGTTTTGCTTTGAATTCGCAAGGATAGCAGGGGACGTAATGGGCGGAAATGGATAATTAAATTGAAATCTATGGCCCAGCACGCCGTGCGTAGCCAACCTCGCGATCGGCTGTTACGTAGTAGTATTAATTAAACGGGATAATTAGTCTTGAATACCTCAATAAAATACAACGATTTCGACTTTGGCCTGATTGCCTTTCTAGTATATTTTTTTTATCGAGTCGCTCCTGCAGGCGCGTCAAAACCGTTCTGGCTGAAAATTTGGTGATAAACTCACCGACGACGACGCTCAAAAGAACGATGGGTATGAGCCAAATGCAGGATGGCCTGTCCCATTCTCGATATCTTCCTTGATAGTGCGCAGAAAGGCGAGGATCACGGCAGCGACGTTTCTCTATCTCTTTTTTTTTTCCCTAATCGTCCGTGACTGCCCGGTGCCATTTCGGCAGTGGTGCGGTGAGGTCCATCGCGACTGTATGAAACGGTGTTGGCGTTGGTGTTACTAGCGTAAGCTCTCCGCAAGACCTGTCTGTATATCCTTCCGTTTAGTTCGTTGGGTAGTATTCCCGACAGACGCTCCCGCTGGCGCTCTTTCATGCGTGCGGTAGAACCCGTAGTGGTTATACGCATCGTGTGGACTGACTTAGAAACTTCCGCCCCTGGCGCCATCGGCGTGCAGAGCCTGTGTCTCTTTCGTCGCCTAGGCCGGTAAAGTAGATAAACCCATCCCTTTGCTAGATACCTTCCTCTGGTGTCTGCCCTCGGTGCGGGTCCCCCCCCCGCCCTTTCTCCAAAAGCCATGGATAATTCCATGAGCGTTACGTGGGTTGCGAATAGCTCTTCCGGTGGCTCCTCGTCTTGTCTCTTGCCCTGCCTGTGGGAGATGCGACAGTGCGTCCATTGTATTTGGGTGTGCCTGACGTCTAAACCGAATTGCGACAAGGCGGATCAGGTGTAGATTCAGTTTATCCGTATTCGTGGTTCTCAGTCAGATTAATTTGCGAAACTAGTGAGGTTGTTTGTTCTGTTAGCCAGTATATGGTTCCAGTGAGGCTTAGTCGTGAAGGGATGGGTTGGATGTTCTGCCTTAATGACCTTGGTTTGATCCGGGTCATCCTCGACGTGTACATACTTCGAAGCCACTATATTTTATATATCACCTGGGAATCATATTGGCGGCTGACCGCAGACACTAGGAGAAGATGGCCTCCGGACCTGGAGCATCATTCATCACTGCAGCGAATTCCTAACGTGGTGGGCCGGTATCTGGCTGAAAACGAGAGGGAAAGAAGCAGGGGCATAAAAATAAGTGTCGGGACTTACGGAAGGGCTCGAGCAGCCGATAAAGCACAGTTATAGCTTATCAAGCAAAAGATAGCCAAAAAAATATTGAGAGGAGTGGGACTCGAACCCACGCTCGTTTCCGAACCAGGAATTGTGCTAAGGTAACCTTAACCTGCTTCGGGTTAGTCAAATTCATAGGCGAACAAACGGTTGAATTACCTGGCGCCATAACCAACTCGGCCATCCTCCCTTACAAAATAGTTGACAATATTTCTACCTATAAGGCTATCTCCTGGATGTTTTCATCCACTATTAGATATTAACGAAACCTCTAGGGCTAATCCGACTCTAAGGCCTAGAAAGAAACTAAGTAATTGTTACAAAACACCTGTCAGGCTATTTGTAGAGCTACAGGAAATAATGGCCGCAGGCCTAGGCAGGGCTAGGGCTACGTATACGATTGGTCCCACCTGCTTATGTGCAGTTCCTTGCTGGGAGGTAAAAAATTAATTGAAACTATCAACATTGCTTACGTGGTAGCAAAGGGTCGCTGCGCGCAGCTGCCTTGAATGTTAGAGATGGCATCTGAGCAAAGGCAGAAAGCTAGTCTCGAACCCCCTGATCGCCGTCGGACTCACAGTATTACTCTGCGTGCTCAAGGCATTTCCTCGTTCCAAGCGCCTACGATGTGTAGAGCCTACCTTAGAGCCAATTGGTATGATGCGCCACGATGGATTAGGCTGGGTAAGCGGTGCCGCACCTCTCGACTACGGCTGGATTGGGAGTTGTGTGTGAAAGCGGTAATGGATGCTCGTGTTCAATCAAGATGAAGGAAGGCGTTTCTTTGTGATAACTAGTTTCTTTCGTTTGATATACCTGGGTGGGCTGGGAGGGGTGAGTGGCTCTTATATATTAGGATCCTGGATGGCTGATAACCGTGCCGGCTTTATTCGATCTACAAAAAGCTATGCGCGTGTATATACATGCGCGCAATAGGCACTTGAGTCTTAGGTAGGTTACGATCTACATGCTAAATTAATGCCATAGATACTTCTGTTGAATTTAATGCTAATAATAATATTATACAGCTCTCACTGTGTCCTCACCACTCGCACTGCGAACAACCCGCATAATTTTTGTTGGAAAACCATTCACTAGCATTGAGAGCCCCCCTAATCGCGCGTAACAGTTTACTGGACCATCCATCTATCATCATCATCTTCAGCGACGTCATAGTCCTCTGCCGTTTTGTGCATATCTCCATCTGCCATGGCTGTGTCCCCATCGTGAGAGGCAGTGGCCGAAGAAACAGGAGTGGAAGTTTCATGTTGTGGCTGCTTATTGACGACTACTGGTGGAAGGGGGGTGTTGACCCAAGATAACTCGACCTTGCCTACACCTGGGATTTCGGAGCCGCTATGAATGAACTGGGGGGAGGACAGTTAGCATCCTATCGTGCAACGCGAGAGTTTATCAGGTGAGATAGACGTTACCTTCTCGGCTGTAAATCTATCCTTGAATGTAATGATCTGCGAGTCGCTACGGTTGGGATTATGTTCGATGTTTTCAAACTCGCCGATTCCCTGTAAAAGCGAGATCAATTTGAGCTTGTGGCTGAGATGGAAGGATATGGACAAAGCTACGAACCAGTAGATATTGCCTCAGGCTCTCATCCTTGTTGGAATCAAACGGCGTCCCCGAAACAGTAACCTTTTTGGTTCGATTATCTAATTTCATCGTTCCTCCTCTCCCCCTGGCCGCGAATGGTCCTCCCCTGCCTCGATACCCGCCTCTAAAGGACTCGTACCCGCCATGACCCCGCGGCATATAGCCACCCCTACCGCGGAACGCTCCTCTACCTCGTCCTCTGCCACGTGTTGACAGCCCATCGTCGGAGAGCGTGGAATCAATGCCTAGAGATCTAGCTTCCGCTTCCAACGCAGCCAATTGTGCTCTCAGCGCTTCAGTCTGTGAGCTTGTCTTAGCCTGGTTTGCTTTTACGTCGCCGTTTGTAGTTGCACCATTCGTCCCGTTCTCGATCTTCGGCGTACCAGGCGCAGGGGGAGAGTTGGAAACTGCTTTCCCTTTCCCAGTAGTTTTTGCAGCCAAGCGTTCCATGAGTTTTCTCTTTTCTTCAGCTTGATTTTTTAAAAGCTCCTCCCTCCGCTTTTCAAGCTCTCTCTTAGCATCCTCGGTTTCCTTCTTTTTGCGCATTTTCTCATCATGAGTTTTCTGAGCTTCTTCCTGCCTCTTCTTGAAATCTTCCATATCAATCTCCATTTCGCCTTCGCTCGCCTTTTTAGATGGCGTCGGCGATCCTGCCTTCGCAGTTCCGTTGGCAGCAACTGGTGGTTTTGGAACGCTTTCAGGCTTATACCAGTAGACCTTGACAAATCGATTATCAAAAATTACCTTGGGAGAATCGTATGCTCTCTTGGCAGAAGTCCAGTCATCATACTTGACCAGGGCCAACCGTTTATAGCCTTGCATTTGGATATCTTGGATATTGCCAAATGTGGAAAAGAACTCGCGTACGGTCTCTTCCTGAAACTTATCCTCAGGTATGCTCTCCACAACGACTGTGGTGATGGAGCGATCTTGGTTAGGCCCTGCATGAGAGAATTCAGCCCTGCCTCCTCGCCGAGTAACAGGCGCGGTACTCCCTCCCCGGCCTCGACCACGTCCCCCACGGTCACTTCCACGGTTGCTATCACGATGGCTAGACCCATTGGCACTAGAACCACTGGCGTTCATCGGTTTTTTAATGTCCGTAACAAGTGCCGAGTTGTTTGGATCATATTCTTGACCCCAAATTAGGTTAACTTCTAATCCGGCTTGGAGGGTTGACTCACCATCGCCATCCCCGGGCACGACTATGGGGTTCGTACCATGTTCGTATGGGCATGTACTACCTAGAGCACAAAATCCCTTCTCATCATAGTCCCGACATCTTTCGCCGATCCTCTTGACAGGAGGGGCCGCGTCTAAAATTGGGGACTGTTGGTTGCCGTTTGGTGCAAAGCTAGAAGGGGACCCAACTGGTGCAAAGGGTATCGTCGGGAGCGGGAAGCCCATCGCCTGCATAGCTAAGAATGCGGCCATCGGATCATTTGGATCAAAAAATGCTGAGGGGGGTTGCGGCAAGCCCGGGAATCCTATCGGTGGCTGTTGTGGCATACCTCCCAAATTGGCCATGGTGGCATCTGGTGTTGGTAGTTGCTGCGGCCCTTGTCGAGCTCGATTGCCAAATCCGTCAAATCGTCCTCCCCTCGTATTACCTCTTCTAGGCTGTTTAAAGGCCCTGTCTCCACCAGAAGCGCGTCCATAATGCGGGTCTTTACCATCCCATGGCTCGCTGCCCTCGTGGTCATGGTAGGAGCGTTTCCGTGATTGATCCCTACTAAGAGGTCCAACATTTGTCGGGCTTGAGCCTGGGCCTAGCGAAGTCGTTGCAGAGCCAGCTGGAGGGCTGAATATATTCGGCGAAGTTGCGGGGCGAGCCGATAGTCCCGAGCCTGGTGGAAGATACGATTTGGAAGCTATGATACCGAAAATATCGTTGACGAAGGTAGCGGTGTCTGTAAGTGTGTCCGTCAGCTATGCATCTTCTTGATATCCAGCAGCCGTATTGTTTAGAGCTACATACGGTCTTTGAGAAAGTCCTCTAATTGGTCGATGCAAAGCTTTCGTACTTCCTCGACAGGTTGATCATGGCGCAAAAGAGCAAGGACGTAATCTGCTAGAACGTCCGAATCTGCATCGGATCTGTGCAAGGAAAGTGCTGTTAGAAGAATCTCCGGGTACAAAGCCCAGCTTTCGGTGGGGTATGAGACTTGCATGTCCTCTAATCTTCTCACGATCCATCTCTTCAACGGGCCAGCATCATCTTCGTTGAAGAGCATTTTCCTCGGGCCAGTGATTACACTAATAGTTGTCCAAGGAAAGCAGCCTTGGAGAAGTTGGAACCTCCTATAGGTGTTGAGTCTGTGCAGAGTGAACTTTCACTCCAAAATCGTAAAAGGTTGACTAATGGTTGTTGATCCTCTCTTTTGCCTGATGCCTCCTGGGTGATTCTCGCCACCAACACACGACTGCATTCACCAAGGCGTTTGTAGTTAGTTCGTGATACTCGTCAAGAAATTAGAGTAGAGGCTCTTGAAGGGATCAGCAACATGGGATAGAGGAGGCGACGACGAGCACGCAAGGTTGCAGATCAGTACGAGGGTAGGTTTGGTGTTTAAAAGATGTCACGTGCGAAATTTGAAGCCGCTGAAGAAAACAGTATTTACATTGATAGTTTTCGATGGCTAATCGCTCAAGTTCATGGGACCACCTCACCGAAGCTCTGCCAGAAAAGAAATAGCCCGTTACATACCAGCATTCATTTAGGGATTACCCAGTGCTCTTGGCTTACATGCCGTTGAAACGACCATGTCTAGGAATACGATCCCCGGAAATCAAGCTTGTTCAGGTCTACTACTTTTCGTAGAACTTTATTGTTGTTATCACAGGTCAAGCCTCTTTGCAACCCTGTCCCGCTTATCTATGAATTCCATTTCCATCTGTGGGTTTCACCATGAAATGCTTCCTCGACCCGCTTGAACTAGCTTACAGGAACGTGCAGTTCATAGTGGGAAAAGCACACGGCACGAAGCAAGAGCAAAAACACACAAAATGGAAACATAGAACTTTGCTGCCATCCGTGTCTCTGCTAAACAGAATTCTTACTTGCCCCAAGCCTCATGAGTTACTTTCATTAGTCATGGCTTGTGATCATCGTGAGGACAAAAAAAAAATTTTTTTTATGCAGAAGTCTATCAAAGCCAACTGTAAACTTCTATAGCTTATCGTAGTACTGCACATAGTTGTTAGCTAACCCCGTTGGTGGTGGGTCCATATAGCTACTTACGTTCTCAACTCCCGGAACATCAATTTTGACGCCTTTACGCTTCCGCATCTCCCGAACGACTTGGCCAGGCTTAGTTGTTGGGTCGAGTGGCGAACCGCCAGGGAGGATTTGCCAATGACTGAACACACTCTGTGGGAAGGCTTGGCCGCTAGTATGGCTACGTAGGTCCGCCGTAAACTTCGCGCTAGATTAGCAAATGCACTCACTGTTGTGATCGAGCACCCAAGGCAAAACTTACACCGAAAGATTCATTGACAGGAAGGTATGCCTTGACATTAAACAGGGGTGTGCCAGGGCGCTGCTCTTCTGCAAAGACGTGGCCTCTCCTCCGGGTGAGGACG